AAAACAGATTTTGCTCAGCCCAGGATAGGATGCTGCCTGCAATCTTCTGCAGAGAGGGGCTTTGTGTTCCTCCTTTTTGTTGCTATACGCCACTGCAGTTATATTGTCCGACCGGATCTGTAGGTGGCGGTCCAATAGCTTCATTCCAAAGGCATCCAAACACTTTTGGACTGCCAACAGTCCCCTATGATTCGAGGACCTCTGAGACTCCCTTCGAGTTCACAACCCCTGGGGGTGCCATGTCTCCTAGATGGGCTCCCCAACCATAACTGCAAGCATTGGTTGTAATAATGAGCAGAGCCAGCTGGTTCCACTCCAGTCCCCTGGCCAGATTTACTTCGCTCTGCCACAACCAGAGTGATCTCTTGACTCTGGACAGGAGCTGGACTGCTAGATCTAAGGTAGACCTGTCTCCGTTCCAAACCCTCACAAGGAAAGCCTGGAGAGGCCTCTAGTGGAGCCTTGTCCACGGGACCGCTGGGAAACAAGAAGTCATGAGACCTACTGCCCTTGAAACATTTTTTCCTCCACCGACGATATTGCATATCCCAGATAGACTACTCTCTGGGAGGGAGTTAAAGATGACTTGTCCCTGTTCATGAGCCAGCCCAGACTCTGAAGGAAATTGAGCCACCTGCAGTTAAGATTTGGCCACAAAGAGAAGGTCGTCCAAATAAGAAATAATGGTGATAGACCTCACCCTTAGGGGAACTAAGGCCTCCACCAGCACCTTCGTAAAAATTCTTGGCGCTGAGGCTAGCCCAAAGGATAGAGCCCGACACTGCCAGTGAAGGATCTGTGAACCCATATTTACTGCTATTCTCAGGTATTTCTGACAGCCACACTCCACTCACCATGGAGGGATCGAATCGGGTGAGGTGGTAAGCTGTACCAAGGACCTTACACTCTTCCAGGACCCACACGAGTGCCGAGACCCCTCAGGCTCATAAACATGTTCCTCCGGATCAGGGAACACTAAAACAGAGGATGGAGGCCCCGCCTTTAAGGTGTGGGGATTACGTGTTTCCTAACCTGGAGGGAGGAGCTCTATGTCTCAAGGGGCTGTCCTGGATGACGCTGGGAGAAAAAAAAAAAAAAAAAAAAATTTTTTTATATATATATATATATATATATATATATATATATATATATATATATATATATAAATCAAAAAAAGGGGGTTGCAGAGAACCAACCTGCCTGGAGTTTGCATGTTCCCCCTGTGCCTGCATGGGGTTCCTCCGGGTACTCCCGTTTCCTCCCACACTCCAAAGACATGCTGGTAGGTTATTTGGATCCTGGCTAAATTTGCCCTAGGATATATATGTATGAATGTAAGTTAGGGACCTTAGATTGTAAGCCCCTTGAGGGTTAGGAACTGATGTGAATGTACAATATATAAATGTAAAGCGATGTGTAAATTGACAGTGCACTGTACCCGAAATGAAAAAAAAAAAGTTGGTGAAAAAAGTAGGTGAAATAAGTGTTGGTGTGAAAAAAGAAAATTCCACATCCTCAACTGTAAAGAAACCCCCCCCCCCCCCCCCAGGACAGTCCAAAGTTAAACCACTTTTTATCCCAGTTTAACTGGCCACATATCTTCTTAAGCAACCTGAGACTAATAGTTTTCTTCCTATGCTAGGATCCCCGTTTAGATTTGTACATTGTGATCAGGTCTCAGCTTCAAGTCTTCTCCAGGGAAAGTAAATTTAATGTGTGTAGCCGTTTCTCACATCAGGAATCCCCCCAGCTAGTTTATTAGCTTTGGTGCTCTTCTCTGAACTCTAGTTCCTGAGGACTGGTAATAAGCACTGGACGGCATACTCATGATGTGGTTGAACCATTATTTTACAGCAGTAGAATCACTTTTATCCCTTGAGTGAAGGGGGGATGCAGGCTCTTACAATGTGTCTAAAACTGGCAGGCAGTAGCAGTTAGGCGGCTGCGCTGCCACCCAATTGCAATATTGAGGAGCCATGCAGACTATTTTAGGTGATTGGAGGGAAATACACCTAAGCACGTGCATGAAAACGTCAATTCTGATACATTGCACATGCCAAACTGAGCACAATTCTAACATCAAACCACCTCCAGATGACCTATTAAAAAAATAAAATTTTTATATATACATACATACACACACTTTTAAAGAGTCTCCTATAGAAGCTATAGGGTATGGGTTTGTCACCATTTCACAGGCGTACACAAATTTTAGGGCTCACATGTTGGGTATTTACGTAGGGCAATCAAAAACACAATAAATTACCCATATTAAAATAGAAGACAAGGTTGCACCAAAATTCACATTTACTGAAATTTTGCATTTTCTAAACCTTTGCGGTAATATCGTGTGACAAAAAAAAAAAATATTGGAACTACCACCATTCTCTCTAGGACATCTTGTTTACACAAACCACACAAACATTTTTGTAATTTTCATACATGACATTCTTAAACGTGGGCAAAAACTGCTCTGGCATCAAAAGGGCTAATGCATGCCAATAGTCTGCTGGCCTTGTTTGCTTTTGCCAAGTGTCACCTACTAGGACCCCCACACCCTTTACCATCCTTAATTTCCCCAGAGATACTCCCCCTAGCGTGCAACTTGTATTTTTTGGCTCCAAGTGCAGTACTCTACATTGAACCTCATTTGTCATGTGGTTGCCCACCTTTCTATTTTAGGCGTGGTCTCCTTGCAAAGTTGCTGTTCAGTATGAACTCTATGTTCTGTCCCTTCAGACATGCTTATTGATTCCTGTATAAAATCTTACCTATTATATACGCATGTAAAAAATAGGGACTCTGTATTGCCTATTGGGTAAAGTTGTCCTTTTACTCAGCCCCCCCCCCCCCCCACCCAAGGCTGTCAACCAAGCTTCTATTTCAATCAAGCAATTCACACTGTGCAACACCAGCAGGGGACACTACCCAATGGGGTTTCTAACAAGTTAAATTTTACTTCCCATCATACTTTCCTTCAGAAAATACTAGGTACCTGGCAATCACACTTCCAATAGCTTCAGTACTTGAACAGCAAGTAGGATCAATGACTTAAGGGACAAGTTCTCTTCTAGTAAACTGGACCTAAACCTTCAAATGCAGCATGCCATATTAAAATATGTGCATTCTTCCCTGTTCCAGCAATCCCCTCACTGTGTGCACACCCTGGGTCAACACCTTTTAGGGAAAAAAAAAAAAAAAATTCCCACTAGCTCTTTAGTCTCCACTCGAGCTGTGGGACCCCATTCATACCCATGGGTGATTTACATTTCGGAAAATGATGGCTCATTCATAGGAATTAATGGAACCACATTACCCATGAATGATTAGCAAGCATGTTTTTACTGGAAAGGCTGTGCAGCATCTGGCAGGGCCACAAAAATGTTTAATTGGATGATAGGAAAGCATTTAAAAAACAGCAGGCAGCATTCATGGAGTTGGAGAATTAAAATAAAAGTGGACTTATTCATTAAACCTTAAAATATAAAAATAAACGAGCGCTGGGTGAAAAAGTGTTTGAATAGCTGCCAGCATAAAAAGGAAAACCTCTAAATGTGATATATAAATATAAATATGCAGCGCTAGAAGGTAATGTATAAATCACAAATTAGCGTAATAAAAATGAGCATATAAAACAAAAGTTGCAAATGGCATACAAAGACGCAGTGCTATGCAGCGCTAAATGGCAATATATAATCACAAATAGGCGTAATGATGAACATGAGCCACAGCAATCACGAATGTTTACACACCATTTTGGTCTGATTGACTATCATTATTGTCGCTTTAGGCACCTTCCAGGATTTGCACATGAAACGGTTTTATATGTCATTTAAAGTCTTTTGAACGCTCATGTTCATCATTACGCCTATTTGTGATTATATATTGCCATTTAGCGCTGCATAGCACTGCGTCTTTGTATGCCATTTACAACTTTGTTTTATATGCCCATTTTTATTACGCAAATTTGGGATTATACATTACCTTCTAGCGCTGCATATTTGTATTTATATATTCTTTAAACCTGCCACATTTCTAAGCACTTTCTAAACCCATTAAGAAAATACACAAAATGTTTGAAAAAAAAATAATAAACTTTATTTAGAACAAATCGCATTTTCTGATGTTCTATGATCTGCAACAGTGTTTAAAGCTCTAGGAGACAGCTTTGAATACATTTTACACAAACTGCTTATTTTAGGATCAACAACAGCTGAACAAAATAAAGAGCCTAGTTCATGAAGAATATATCAGTGGCATACTGCCCCTCAATTTATGACTGGTATACTGCTAGCAAAGTCTAGGATCAGAAATGCCATGTTTAGCCCCTCAAGACACCAGTTTTTGAAGGTAAGCCAAACGATATTAGTTGGGCACATTTATTTTACATGTTCTAAAAAGAGGAATTATCTACAGCCATGCAAACTTACAGGTCATATTCATTGCACAAGTACTTTTAAATTTTCGTTACAAAAAGATTCACTTTCATATTGACAGGATATAAAAAAGGAGACATGTGCTAGCCTACCAAAGTGACTTAAAACAAAAAACTTAAAAGGTGAAAAATAAAAAATTGTGGCAAGAGTTTTAATAAAATGCCAAGTGGTGATTTAGCCATTCCTTTCTGGACTTATGCTCCTTCTCGGGCTTCTGGATGGTGAACGACTGAGAAAGAGAAAAAAAAAAAAAATTAAAAAAAAAAAACTAACAGTTTTGAAGTTACCATTTACAGATTTTCATTACTTGTATTAAATGTGGAATACTCTCAAGTGTTTCCAAAGCCTGATCATGGCAGACACTATGCTGAGAGCTCAAAACACTGCCTGTACCCAAACATTGCTGTCTGCCCCCTCAAGTTAGTATACCAACTACAGAAATCCCTTCCCAAGTATTAAACCAAAATGTCAAACCCCAGTAACACACTCCAATTCACAGATCTAAACCAACCATTCACAGGAATGTCAAGGATGACAAAATATAAATACATGATATGGTTAAAATTACCTTGCTCCTTTTGGAGAAGCAGATCTTGACTTTGACCTAAAGAAAAAAAAAAAAAATATATTATAAAATTAAAAAAGACATCTGCAACCAAAGCTTGTTTAAATGGCCAATTTTTTTTTATTTTATAGTTTTAGATAGAGTGGTGAGAAATTTGAACACTTTTTTTTATTGCAGTCTGTGTTCCAGTTAGGGAGACACTGTCTTGTTTACCATTGTCATTGAAAGTACAGCCCAACATTTTGGGCTGTCCCCAGAAAAGTAAGAGGGGACATCTTCCAATGCGGGCACTAGTTTTGATCACCCTCCCCCCTTCCTATTTAGAGCCCTAGAATAAGTACAAATCTTGATGAAAATTTAAAAATGGCTACAGAAAAAAAAAAAAAAAAAAAAAAAAAAAAAAAGTTTATAGTGGTATTTGAACAAGTTCCTAAATCAGCAGTATATTATGCATATTGGTCGTTGCAAAAGTAATTTCCAAAAATGGTAATAAAATAGGGCAATTCTAGCTTGAATGAACATAAAAAAAAGGTCTTACCTGCTTCTGGGGCGTGAGACAGACCTGGATCTGGACCTTGACCTAGATCTGAAAGGGGAAAAATGTTTTTTTTTTTTTTTTAAATCAAAACACTGAAAAACGGCAAATTTCAGAATTGTGCATGCAGACCTGTTACCTTAATCATTTTTTATATTTCATATAAACCTTTTCTAGTCTGTTATTACTGTGAGGGGGATGAGGGGTGGCTACCATCTGAGGCAAGTGACATTTCTTCACAGGAATATATTAATGCGTAGTTCTATACCCATTTAAATTAAAAAAAAAAAAAAATATGGCCGTTAAATTTGGAGTGTTACGTACCGAGATCTTTTAACAGAAGGAGATCGAGATCTGCGTGGACTTCCAGATCTTGACCTACGTGGTGAAACAGATCTTGATCGCCGGGGAGAGCCAGACCTGGACCTACAGAAAGACAGAACATGAAAATATGTAACACCTTTAAATGCTTCAGTGTTGAAATGTCGTGCAAGTCTGTTTAGAAAATGCATCAACTATAAACAAAAAACACACTGAAAAGTTATTTTTGCCCATGGCATCCCTGATCGCAATTAAGTTTAAACTGAAACCCTCCCTAAAGCTACTCAGGCACTTTACACCTATGAAAGAACAGTGTACGCTTTTTTTTCCATCAAAAGGATATATATATTTTATGTAGCTGTGTTTGTTACTTCCATAACCTACCACCAAAGAACCCCCCAAATTGAATTCTCCAGCTCTTGATGATCGCAGCGATACCATATATGTGTATGTTATTTGTACCCATAGTACAGGCCAGAAACAATAGTGTGCAATTTGTTTTTCATCTTTTACCTAAAAACACACGGACACCAACTTTTTTAAAAATCCTGACCCAAACACTAACCCTGGCACTGAGCTAGATCAAACCTTGATCTAGGTATTTTTATTTATTAATATTTTTTTTTTTTACAAACATTTCTCCCCCCCCCCCCCCCATGCCAGGAGTTAGAGAGATTCTCTCTCTCCAGAGAAAGAAATAAAAGGGGGGGGGCGCTGGGCTGTACAGTGACTGATCACGGTGATAGCTAATCAGAGGCTATCACAGCGATCCTGTTATCCGGAATCGAGAGTCCTGGGTCCCGATAGTTAGTACGGGACCTGGTGCACGCAATGACACCGCACACAAAGGTATGCAAATATGCGGCCCCCACACAAAAAAAACCCCAGTTATGTGAGGCTACATATTTGTGTTAAGTCGGCATCAAGGGGTTAAAACACTATATAAAAAAAAACACTGGAAGAGAAGTTAACATAAAGGGGAAAAAAAAAAAAAAAAAAAAAAAGTTACAAACTTGCCCTAAATGCATTTCAAACTTTAATACTCTGTCAAGTATTTTATGGAAAAAATGGTTCGTAGAAGTTAGGGTTAAAAAAAAAAAAAAAAAAAAAAAAAAAAAAAATTACCTCCTGCCACGGCTTCTGCTGCGTGATCGGGAATATCTTCTTCCCCGAGATCTTGAGTGAGAGCGGGATCTAGACCTGAATATTTTGAAAGAACAAGTTATTCCATGTCTAAAATGCAAAGGACAATGCAACTTAACCAGACATTACCAATGTCTGAAAACAAAATAGGTAACCTATTTGCCTTGAATAGATCTACCCAGGAGAAAAACTTGTTAAAAAAGGAATTCCATTTTTACATTAAAAGTAAATATTCTAAAATATAAAGACTAGAAGTGGTAGTTAAAATAAACCTTGCAAGTCTGCAGGTCGACCCTCTTTGGCACAAGGTCTAGAAGATCTATACGGTCTAGAAGATCTACCAGCCGATCGCTTCATCTACTGTAGGTCTTCCAATCTAACGACGATCAAACTGACAGCCATATGAGCCAGATGAGGCTTGATTGACGCATGAAGGTTTTTCTAGATGGGAATGTGGTCAATCTGCAGTTCTTTTCTAAACCGGAGGGGAGCCCCAAATGTAAGCCAATATTACTTTGATACGGCGATCACAGTAGATCTTAGATTTCATGACCTCTACAGAATCATAAAGGTGGATCTAGATGTAGATGGCTTGAGGGGATCTGGCCTCTTATGCTGATCACCTCAAGGTCTAGCAGAATCATAATGTCGGATTTGCAAGGCGCCTCAGCATGAAATCTTAAGGCTCGTGACATTCTGAATCAAGGCGACTGACTCAAACGAAGAAACCTGTAAGGTTTTGACCAGGTGATTATTAATATATTTGAACAATTCAAAAAGTAAAACAAGCTAAAAATGTACCAGAACAGAAAAGCAGCAGTCCACCATTCGTACACCGTTTTTCAGTTGTGCCACAGCTTTAAGGCTGAAGCAGATACTGGGAAATAACCCAATATAAAAACTACCAATTACTATACTGTTCTGATGGCTTCCTTTGAAACTTCCTGTAATCTGCAGGAGCATGCAAATAAAGCTTCCATTCTGCTCTCAAAGTTCAACATGTCAAACATACAGTTTTAGGGCAAGAGACAGAATTGCCAAAATTCTAAACAAAAATACCAAAATAATCAAGCTGTAGATTTCCTATGGACCAGATATTTTGTTCCCCACCCGCTAAGCATTTGGACTGGTTCAACCAGATCAAGATTTCCAAAATATAGCATTTTCCAGAGGCTACAGAAAAAAAAAATAATATATATATATTTATACATAGAAAGCATAGTCTGCCACTTCTGCCCAGTCACATGCGTTTGACACATTTTATTTCTTTTAGGAGACTAGCTAAATCTAATACCACAGCAGAAGAACTAAAGTATTATAGCCTACATTATCTAGTCTAGTCCAATGGGCAGTCTGATATTTCATGCATTTATTCGCTTAAGGACTGCTGCTTTAAAAACAACCACAGCAAACATTTTAACTTTGTGCCTCAGATCACAACCAACCAAGACAAATGTGTACCTGCTCCTCCTGCGCCTGCTGTATCTTTGACAATCGTATGCATAGTGCCCCTTTTCACCACATTCATAACACCTGTCACTGGGATCAAAGGGCCTCCGTGCTGGTGGTCTGTCATAGCGGGAACGACGTGGCATGCCAGTTGACAGTTCTACCCTAACTCTTGAGCCACAGATGACCCTGTATTCAATGAAAGGAGAATTAATTTTTTTTTTTTTTTTTTTTACAAAGTACAAAGACCATACATTTTAGACCTCATGATTATCAAACGTTAAAAGCCTGTTTATCACATGAACACGTGGCACCACAAAACCCTAATATTGTAATGATGCCACTGTCACATTTGGATAAATAACATGCCAGTGTTCAACGCTGACCTATGCATGAGTTTGCAGAGGAGGAAGGCAACCCTTTATTGCAGAATAGCTTTTGCTCTACAAAGAAAATTTATTAGAAAACCCACCCCACACTGTCCACAGATGTTAAATTCTGCTATAAACAAATATGGTTTAAATGATGCCCATGACCTCTTAAAAGCCAATAGAGACAAGCCTGGAGGAAAGGTAGGGTGGTAGCACTACACCACTAACACCCAATCACATGCACTGATTAATGAGCCTGCAATGTAAAGCATTAATACCTAATCTTTCTGCTGAAAGGCTAGCCATCTTAACCTCCCTAGCAGTCTGATTATGTCCATATTTCTGTGCTGAAAGCGGTACATTTTTTTTGCATGGAAATTTGTTTGTTTTTTTTATTGTAGGCCTGTAATTTTTAGGAATAACTCACTGAAATCTGTCCGAACAAAAGTCTAGTAAACATCCTGGGTACGTTAAAATTTGAAACAATCATAAATTATAATTTAATAATCAAAAATATAATAAATTTAATTCAATATAATCAAACCAAAAACACTGAAATTTGAAATATAGTGCCAAGTTCGCACATCGCTGAGCAAAGTCGCAAAATCGTTTTCAGTGTCTGATGACGAATTTCCCCACAAATCATCACTCAATTCTTCAAGTGGTTCTGATTTACTATCGCTGTTCTCTAGCCGGTCTAAAACCGCTTTTGACTAAAAGGGACGCTTTTTGGACACCATGGACCTTTCTAAGTTTCCAGGCAGAAAGAACAATCAAAATACAGGCAGGGCACAGGACAAAGCAGTAGGGACAAAATGTATGTGAAATGGTTTGATACAGTAATGTTTTACTATGTCAAATTTCTAAGAAAATGACAGTTTCAAAAATTTTTTAAATTTGCCGCCAAAGCGGCCCCCGTTCGTGCCGACGCCCGCAGGGACCGGAACACGAAGCTGGATGCCGATATCGGCCGGAGGAGATGGAAGGGGACGCTGCAGGGGACGCAACGCGGGAGCGAAGGACAAGGTAAGCGCTGCAGGAATCCCTGAGCAACAACGCATGGTAAGCCCGAGCTAAACTCGGGGTTACCGCTTTTGGTACTGAAACTTTACCCCGAGCTACACTCAGGAATACCACCAGGGAGGTTAAAGTGATAAGCTGAAATTGGTTACCATGGGCACCAACCTTTATATGTTTCTCTGTTGCTACACAAGATCTGACCTACAAAGCATTTTCAGGACATAAGGAAAGCCTTAAAAATTCAACATACTTTCCATCTAAGCCACGCACTGCATCTTCAGCATCTCGTGTATCTTCAAATTCAACAAAAGCAAATCCTGGAGGGTTTCTTGCAATCCAAACTGTACGCAGAGGACCATAATAACTGAACGCTCTCTCCAACTCTCCTTTGCCAGCACCAGTACCAAGATTACCAACGTAGACTTTTGCTTCTAAGAACAGAAAAAAGACAAAATAAATTAATTTAAAAACAATGGGCAAAAGAAAATACATTTGTAAATGTTATTCTAAACGTTATTTTCTGTCAGTTTTTCAAACAGTCAAAGCATGCAGAAGGACATCTCTAAAAAAAGGAGATATCCTAAGAATCACCAATCTTTGTGTAATACAGAATAACTACTAGGAAATATTCTTCAACTATGCAATAACTCCCAACTGTGTGAAAACTCAACCCACCCAATCAAACCTAAATATACAGTTTTTGGCAACGACCGTTATTCCAATACTAAAAGACAGCTGGTATAGTCTGAGATTGCACAGCTTGTGATGAGTTTGTTGGCAGGGAAGAAATTTTAACTGTGCTCAAAATATGCAAAATAAAAAAATGGTTTAGTAGAGGTTACCTGCAGGGTTCCCCCTGGGCCTTCACACTACTCACCTTGCTTTTTGCTAAAGAAGCTATAAGAAAAAAAAAAAAAAAAACCCACACCAAGCTACTTGGTCCTTAATAGCTACTCCCTCCCCCACATGCAGATGTCCATCCTACCTGCAGGACCTGAGACAGATATAGGTGAAACTCTAAAAATTAGAATATCATGCAAAATTTCAATTATTTCAGTAATGTAACTTAAAAAGGTGAAACTAATATATGAGAGACTCATTACATGCAAAGCAAGATAGTTTAAGCCGTAATTTGTCATAATTGTGATTATGGCTTACAGCTCATGAAAACCCCAAATCCACAATCTCAGAAAATTAGATTACATGCAATCAATAAAAAAAGGATTGTACATAGAATATCAGACCTCTGAAAAGTATAAGCATGCATATGTACTCAGTACTCAGTTTGGGCCCCTTGTGCAGCAATTACTGCCTCAATGCGGCGTTGCATGGAAGCCATCAGCCTGTGGCACTGCTGAGGTGTTATGGAAGACCAGGATGCTTCAATAGCGGCATTCAGCTCTTCTGCATTGTTTGGTCTCATGTCTCATCTTTCTCTTGGCAATGCCCCATAGATTCTCTATGGGGTTCAGGTCAGGCGAGTTTGCTGGCCAATCAAGCACAGTAATCCCACGGTCATTGAACCAGGTTTTGGTGCTTTTGGCAGGAAGCACTCCAAAATCTCCTGGTAGACGGCTGCGTTGACCCTGGACTTAATGAAGCACAGTGGACCAACAGCAGCAGATGACATGGCTCCCCAAATCAACACAGACTGTGGAAACTTCACACTGGACTTCAAGCATCTTGCAGTATGTGTCTCTCCATTCTTCTTCCATACTCTGGGATCTTTGTTTCCAAATGAGATGCAAAAGTTGCTCTCATCAGAAAAGAGGACTTTGAACCAACGAGCAACAGACCAGGTTTGTTTTTCTTTAGCCCAGGTTAAGACGCTTCTGATGGGGTTTGTTCAGGAACTGCTCGACAAGAGGAATATGACATTTGAAGCCCATGTCCAGCATCCGTCTGTGTGTGATGACTCTTGATGCACTGACTCCAGCCTCAGTCCACTCCTTGTGAAAGTCCCCAACACTTTTGAATGGCCTTTTTCTGGCAATCCTCTCCAGGCTGAGGTCATCCCTGCTGCTTGTGCACCTTTTTCTTCCACACTTTTCCCTTCCACATAACTTTCTATTAATGCGCTTTGATACCCTATCAAAAACGCATGTGTGAAAATGCAAAACGCACAGCAGAAACGGATCAAACGCAAACTGCATAGGTGTGAACCTAGCCTTACAGGTGGCAGAAGGGAGAAAGAGCACCTATCACTGCCTATTGCGAATACAAGGGACGTTCACATTTCTTGTGATACCAGTAAAAGTGAAATAAATGAAAACATTTTTTAAACACCTCCCATCCCACTGTGCTCACATGCAAAGGAGAACGTAGCTGTTGGGCCAGCATACATACGTAAACACCGGTCGCACCACACGTCAGATATCACTACTAGCACCTACGTGAGCACAATTCTAGCACCAGATCTCCTGCATCACTCTAACCTGGTAAACTGTGTAAAAGCGTTTAACGCGTCACCTATGGAGATTTTTTTAAGTACCATAGTTTGCTGTAACTTTAAAGTGTTGCATGTTAACCATTTACTCGCTGCAAGGCCCCTTTCACACGAGCGGTTAGCTTTCAGCTGCGATTAGAGGAACTTATTTAGTGCAGCTAAATGCAGAAAATGCATCCCTATGGCTCCATGCACACACTGCGTACAGGAGCGATGTACCGCAACTATCTGTACATAAACGCAGTTAATTGCACTACAGAGAACACGCAAACAGTTGCTATACACCCTTTTCCAAATTAATATGCAAATTCTATTTAAGTGTCACAAAGATTAAATATTTTGTTTTTCAGTTTAATTCATGGATGGCATGGTGTGTCAGGGCTCTTTTGATCACTGAAAACAATCTGACACCTGTGATAATTAGATTGGCAGGTGAGCCCAATTTAAGGAAAAACTACTAAAGGAGGGTGTTCCACATTATTAACCACCTCCCACCATATAGTAATATGACGGGCGCAAGGTGGTTCTCTCGTTCTGAGAGGACGTCATCCCATTCTCACTGCGCATGCGCGGGCTCAGGGAGAACACAGTGTGGCAATCAGCATTGCGCTGTGTCCCTCGGACACAGCTGATCACATGTAAACAGGGAAATGCCCATTATCTGCATTTCTCTCCTCTCGAGCTGTCAGCGTGACAGCTCGAGAGGAGAGCCGGTAATCGGCTTTCCGCGCAGGGGACATGTACACTGATCATCAGGGCACTGATGATCAGTGTAGCCCCAGCAGTGCCACCTGTCAGTGTCCATCAGTGCCGCCCATCAGTGCCGGAGAAAAATCACTTCCTTATTTACAAACTTTTATAACAAAAACTAAGACATTTTTTTTTCAAAATTCAGTGGTTTTTGGTTTAAGAAAAAATTAAAAAACCCAGAGGTGATTAAATACCACCAAAATAAAGCTCTGTCACAAAAAAATTATAAAAATTTCATATGGGTACAGTGTTTGACCGCGCAATTGTCAAAGTGCAACAGCGCTGAAAGCTGGAAATTAGCCTGTGCAGGAAGGGGGTATAAGTGCCCTGTAGGCAAGTGGTTAAGCAGAGCACCATTTTCAAGCAATATGGGGAAGAAAAAGGATCTCTCTGCTGCCGAAAAGAGTGAAATAGTTCAATACCTTGGACGAGGTATGAAAACATTCGATAATTCACGAAAACTTAAGCGTGATCATCGCACTATTAAGAGATTTGTGGCTGATTCAGAGCACAGACCCTTTAGGGTCCCCGAAGGTGTAAAGATGATCTCTGAATAGTATGTGGAGTTTGTGACTGACCACTTTCTTCCCTGGTACAGAAGGAAGAACTATGCTTTCGGTAATAAAATCATCTTCATGCATGACAATGCACCATCTCATGCTGCAAATAATACCTCTGCATCAATGGCTGCTATGGGGATAAAAGGAGAGAGTCATGGTGTGGCCTCCATCCTCCCCTGACCTCAATCCTATTAAGAACCTTTGTAGCATCCTCAAGCAAAAGATCTATGAGGGTGGGAAGCAGTTTACATCCAAACAGCAGCTCTGGGAGGCTATTCTGACATCTTGCAAACAAATTCAAGCAGAAACTGTCCAAAAACTCACAAGTTCAATGGATGCAAGACTTGTGAAGCTGCTATCAAATAAGGGGTCCTATGTTAAAATGTAACGTGACCTGTTAAAATGTTTAAAAAGTTAAAATGTTGTTAAAAGTTTGATTGAAATAGCTTTTGATTTCAGCAAATATACTGCAAACACAACAAATGACAATTTTCAGTTCTTTACAACCTATAAAGTGTTTTGAAACTTACTGTGCGTAATAATTTGGAACAGTGCATTGTAAGTTTATGTTTAACAAAAATACTGTTATTAGGTTTGTTCAAAAAAAATTGAATTTTACTCTTAACCACTTGCCTACCAGGCACTTATACCCCCTTATTTACCAGGCCAATTTTCAGCTTTCAGCGCTGCCGCACTTTGACAATTGCGCGGTCATGCAACATTGTACCCATATGAAATTTTGATCATTTTTTTCCTCACAAATAGAGCTTTCTTTTGGTGGTATTTAATCGCCACTGGGCGCTTTACTTTTTGCGCTATTAAAAAAGTGCAAAAAATTTGAAAAAAAAAAAAAAAAAAAGTTTGTTTCTATTATAAAATTTTTCAAACAGGTAATTTTTCTCCTTCACTGATGTGCGTTGATGCGTTGATGAGGCAGCACTGATAGGCGGCACGGATAGGCACTGATAGCACTAATGAGGTGTCACGGATAGGCAGCACTAATAGGTGACACTGATGATGGGTACTGATAGACGGCACTGACTGGCACAACCGCTGGGCACTGACTGGCGGCACTGACTGGCACAACCGCTGGGCGGCACTGCTGGGGCACAGGTGGGCGGCACTGCTGGGCAGAACTTGTGGGTGGCACTGCTGGGCAGAACTTGTGGGTGGCACTGCTGGGCAGAACTTGTGGGTGGCACTGCTGGGCAGAACTTGTGGGTGGCACTGCTGGGCACCGATCATCAGGGCACTGATCATCAGTGCCCTGATGATCGGTGCCGATCCTCGCTCTGACAACTGCCGGTTCTCGGCAGTACTTTCCTCACGATCTGACAGCGTGAGGAAAGTGCAGCCGAGAATCGGCACTTGCATTTCCCTGTGATCAGCGTGTCATTGGACACCGCTGATCACGTGGTAAAAGGCCGGTATGATTGGCCTTTTACCACATCACGTGATCAGCTGTGTCCGTAGGACACCGCGATCACGGAGATCGCCGGGTGCGCGCCCCCGGTCATATGACGTCCACCCAGAACTGACCGGCCGCAGTGCAGCCGTCATTCGGCTATCTGCGGTCGGCAACTAGTTAATAACATGAGAATTATGCTGACTGTTATTTACATCGATTATTTAGGTAAATGAGAAAAATATCATTTGCATAATAATTTGGAACTGTGTGTATGCAAATGACATTTTTCTCATTTATCTAAATAATTGATGTAAATAAACAGCTGATCACGTGATGTGGTAAAGGCCAATCACAGCAGCCTTTTACCAAGTGATCAGCCGCGTCCAATGACACGCTGATCACCGGGAAATGCAATTGCCGGTTCTCGGCTGCACTTTCCTCATACTGTCAGAGCGTGAGGAAAGTACTGCAGAGAACCGGCAGTTGTCAGAGCAGGGATCGGCACCGATCATCAGGGCACTGATGATCAGTGCCACCCACCAGTTCCGCCTACCTGTGCCCAGTAGTGCGCCCACCTGTGCCACCCACCAGTGCCCAGCGGTTGCGCCAGTCAGTGCCACCTCATTCGTGCTGCCTATCAGTGCCACCTCAGTGCTGCCCATCAGTCCCGCCTCATCAACGCACATCAGTGAAGGAGAAAAATTACCTGTTTGAAAAATTTTATAATAGAAACAAAATAACTTTTTAAATTTTAGCAATTTTTTTGTTTGTAGCGCAGAAAGTAAAGTGCCCAGCGGCTATTAAATACCACCAAAAGAAAGCTCTATTTGTGAGAAACAAAAATATAAAAATTTCATAAGGGTACAATCTTGCATGACCGCGCAATTGTCAAAATGCAACAGCGCTGAAAGCTGAAAATTGGCCTGGTAAAGAAGGGGGTATAAGTGCCTGGTAGGCAAGTGGATAATAATGTGGAACACCCTCCTTTAGTAGTTTTTCCTTAAATTGGGCTCACCTGCCAATCTAATTATCACAGGTGTCAGATTGTTTTCAGTGATCAAAAGAGCCCTGAGACACAAGGCCATCCATGAGTTAAACTGAAAAACAAAATATTTAATCTTTGTGACACCTAAATAGAATTTGCATAATAATTTGGAACAGGGTGTAATAAAGGCAAGAATTTACTACCACAGCCGCATGTAAATGCACGTGATCGCAGATAAATGCAATGTACAAAAGCAAATGATCTCTGTACCTGGAGTGTTGGAATTTCAAAATAAAAACACATGCATTAACCACTGGTTCACAAATACACGGCCATGTTTTGCGTGGGCACAAGAGCCCATTCATTTGAATGGACTCCCATGCCCCATGGAGAAGTCTCTGCACTTCTTCTGAAAACGCAGAACTAATGGTTCCGGCCTGCAGGTCCGCATTCCTCTGTGCGGGTGGTGCGGCTGCACGGATTTTCATGCGGATCACCACCCGCACATATGTGAACCTAGCCTTACAAGCATTAGAATAACCACCCATGTGAAGGAGGCATAACAGCATTGTTACCCTTTACAAAACAATTGGGTATTAGATTGTATTTTTGGACATTTAAATTCCCTGAAGTGTGCATTTACAAAAAAAAAATTGTCATTTGAAAAATCAACGCACAAAGACCATGTAACGAAAAAAATGCCACACTCCCCATTATAGTCTCCAGGGCCTCTGCTTAAAAACAAGGTTTGGGGTTCTAAGTACCTTTCTAGAAAGGGGAATAAAGGCAGATTTTCAGAATAGGACCAGTCTTCAAGTGGTTAAGGGACCACAGTCCATCAAGTAGCAGAATGAATGGTCCTATGGCGGTTTTTAGATAGAAAACAGAATTTGCAAGGCTACTATGTCAAATAAGAACCCCAATGATCTGTGTATTCTTCTGGATCAAAGTTCCCACCGAACCAAAATCCTGAGGGGGGCCCAGTGCTTAATGTCCAATAACACACAGTACTCTTCTGCAATGGAAGGCCGAAGTCCTGGCGCCATGTGATCAGTTTTGCTGTATAAATGATGGCAGATCCCAGACGATCGTACACAGACCCAGCCAGAGATCAGCATCCTGAGCCGGCCTCAGCGTGCTCCATGTAACACGGGCCACAGTACCCAGCAGGTGATGACAATAGAGATGTGCGCCGGACAGATATTCCCGGCACACCCCTCCATGCACGATACAAACTCCTGCAGTAAAAGATGAGGAAATCCCTCTCATTCCATCGGCAGACTCACTACATCGAGCACGTGACTAGCGCGCCTCACAAAATGGCGGCTGCAGACCACACATGCCTCACGAGCGCCTGCTAGGCAACACAAGTCACAATAAAGCACATTCTTACACAAAGTGCCGTCTCCTAAACCATGCTTCATAACACAATCCCGTGCACACTTACCTCCGCTATACCTCCCGTATCGCGACATTACTCCTCCGATGGACTCTCCCGCAACAACGCCGACTATAAGTGGAATATGGCGCGGCGCCTGCTCGTTTCTTATAAATGCTACAACAGCCTGCCGTGAGGTAGTCGGCGCCCATTGGGTGACAGCTGTTACGTAACGCTTAGGAAAGCCCACATCCAGGAAGAGCGGGAGGATAGGGCAATAGCCTGGAGAGACCCCGCCCTTTTGGTGGGTGTGTGTTGTATGTGCGTGCGCGGTGTCTATGGGGCTCGATGGGCAAACAATGCAGCCTTCCCCTGATACTGACCACAGGCCATTCATCATCATAACCGTCACATTTCAATGTACAAGTGCAATGAAGTCCGAGCACTGCACAGAACGTACGGCACTATGTATGGAGTTCTATAGATCGGGACAGGGATACGGTCATATGATGGATTCCGATCACATTGTACATCCCTGTAGTAGGTTCCATTCTAAACCCCTCACACCAGGACAAAACAATGGGCAGCTACAGGAGCTGGCCACCAGTCCTGGAATAGACAACGTAGTAGAGTCAGTGCAGTGTGGGCACACATGGCGGAGTCACAGCAGTGTGGGCTCTCATAGATACATAGTCTGGCTGAAAAAAAGACAAAAGTCCATCCAGTTCAACCATAAAAAAAATCCTATACCCACAGTTGATCCAGAGGAAGGCAAAAAACCCAGCAAAGCATGATCCAATGTGCTCCTGCTTGGAAAATATTCCTTCCTGATCCACCGAGAGGCAATCGGATATTCCCTGGATCAACTTTACCTATAAATGTTAGTATCCAGTTATATTCTGTGTAAGAAAGAATCCAGGCCTTTTTTAAAGCAATCCACTGAGCTGGCCAAAACCAACTCTTGAGGGAGTCTATTCCACATTTTCACAGCTCTTACTGTGAAGAAACCTTTCCGTATTTGGAGATTAAATCTCTTTTCCTCCAGATGTAAAGAGTGCCCCCTTGTCCTCTGTGATGACCTCAGGGTGAATAGCTCTACACCGAGTTCACTATATGAACCACTGATGTATTTATACATGTTGATCATATCCCGCTTAATCTCCTCTTCTCAAGAGAGAATACATTCAGTTCCTCTAATCGTTCCTCATAGCTACTCCTCCGGTCACCCTCCTCCTCCATCCTACGCTCCCTCACCCACATCTTCAATCTCTTCCTCTCTACTGGCGCATTCCCCTCCCCCCTAAAGCACACGCACATCACCCCCATACTCAAAAAACTCTCCCTGGACCCCACCGACCTGAACAACCTTAGACCCATCTCCCTGCTGCCATTTACTTCCAAGCTCCTTGAGTGCTTAGTCTACAATCGCCTAAGTGCCCACCTCACTGACAACAACCTCCTCGATCCACTCCACTCCAAAACCGCCCTACTCAAAATCACTAATGACCTGCTAACCGCCAAATCCAATGGCCACTACTCAGTCTTCTTACTCCTCGACCTCTCTGCGGCCTTTGACACAGTTGACCACCCCCTCCTCCTTAATAAACTACACTCCCTCGGCATCAGAGACTCTGCTCTCTCCTGGCTCTCCTCCTATCTATCCCAACGCTCCTTCAGCATTACCTATAATGCTACCACCTCCCCCTCTCTGTTAGGGTCCCCCAAGGCTCTGTCCTTGGGCCCCTTTTCTTCTCCATCTACACCTCCTCCCTCGGCAAACTGATACACTCCACGGCTTCAACTGCCATCTCTATGCCGATGACACGCAAATTTACCTCTCCACCCCTCGCCTCACCCCTTCAGTCTCTGCCCGTATCATCCACCTACTGAACAACATATCAGGCTGGATGTCGCTCCCTTTCCTCAAATTTAACCTTTCCAAAACCGAGCTCCTTATTTTACCCCCAGCCCGCATCCCCCCCCCCACCCTCTCCATCACGACCAACAACGCCACCATCAGTCCCACCCTGCAAGCCAAAGTCCTAGGTGTCACTCTAGACTCAAACCTGTCCTTCCAACCCCATGTCCAATCGTTGGCAAACTCATGCAGGCTCCACCTCCGCAACATCTCCAAAATACGTACCTTCCAACCCCAGACACTAATAAACAACTCGTTGACGCCCTTATTATCTCACATCTGGACTACTGCAACTCCCTTCTCACCGGCCTACCCCAACACAGGCTATTCCCACTTCAGTCTATGCTGAATTCAGGGGACAGACTCATCAACCTTACCAACCGCTCCGCTTCTGCCCCACCCCCCTCTGTCATTCCCTCCACTGGCTCCCGATTACCCAGCGCATTAAATTCAAACTACTAACACAGACATACAAAGCCATTCATAACGCTGCCCCAAACTCACCGACCTGATACCCAAATACCACCCAACCCGTAATCTTCGCTCCTCACAAGATCTCCTACTTTCTAGCTCCCTGGTCTCCACCTCCCACGCCCAACTTTTCCAGGACTTCCCCCCATCCTCTGGAACTCACTACCCCAATCCATCAGACTGTCACCTACCCTCCTCACCTTTAGGCTCACCCTGAAAACCCATCTCTTCAGGGAAGCCTACCCCGCCCTCACCTAATAGCCGATCTCCTCCACTCCTCCTACCACTCCATCCCCCACAGCCACTTCCTCCTGTGCCACTATCTCCTCCCTCCTAGATTGTAAGCTCGAAAGAGCTGGGCCCTTGACCCCCTCGTGTTTTGTTTTGTTACTGTATTGTCTCATGTACTGTCCCCCACTATAATGTACAGCGCTGAGCAAACCTTTTAGCGCTATATAAATACTGTATAATAATAATAATATCTGAGCTCCTCCATGCCTCTTATCAGTTTGGTTGCCCTTCTCTGTACTTTCTCCAGTTCCCCAGTGTTCCTTTTGTGAATTGGTGCCCAAAACTGAACTGCATATTCCAGATGAGGTATTACTAATGATTTGCACAGGGGTAATATGATATCTCTCTCTCTGGAGTCTATACCTCTTTTAATACAAGAGAGGATTTTGCTCGCTTTAGAAATTGCAGCTTGGCATTGCATGCCATTATTAAGCTTGTGATCTACCAGAACCCCCAGATCCTTCACCAATGACTCCACTCATGGCAGAGTCAGTGTAGTGTGGGTGCCTGTCATGGAGTCAGAGGAGTGTGGGGCACACAGGAGCTGACCCTTTGAGGGCTCATTAACACGGGTAAAAAGCTGTATTTAGATGTGCACACGTACAGTTTTGTGCACATCTCAACACATCACTGTAGTAATCAATAAGCCCATACAAACAGCTACGTTTACATGCATCAGCACTTACATGCAAAGTCATTTGTTGGATTGAAAGAACTGTACACATCTAAATGAAAATACTTTGGGCCCGTATTTTTACGCAGGATCTTCTGCTAGCTCTGCCAGTAAGAACCTGCATTCTGTGCAGAAAATAGGCATATGACTGACTGAATGAGCCCTAAAGCTCTATTAACTACTTGCCCTCCAGAGGATTTACCCCCCTTAATGACCAGGCCTCTTTTTTGCTACTCGGCGCTGCACTAATTCAACTGATAATTGCGCGGTCATGCAATGCTGTACCCAAACAAAATTTAAGTCCTTTTTTTCACAGAAATACAGCTTTCTTTGGGTGGTGTTTGATCACCTGTGCGCTTTTTATTTTTTGCGCTATAAACAAAAAAGACCAAAAATTTTGAAGAAAAAAACAATATTTTTAAATTTTGGCTATAAAAAAAATAAACTCAAAGTTAGTTAGAAATTTAGGCCAAAATGTATTCTGCTACATGTTTTTGGTAAAAAAAAATCCAAATAAGTGTATATTGATTGCTTTGTGTGAAAGTTATAGCTTCTACAAACTATGGTATAGATACTGCAATTGAATCCATTTTTTTGCTATCCATCGCTGCACTAGTTTAACTGACAATTGCACGGTCTTGCAGTATGGTACATAAATTAAATTTTTGTCCTTTTTTCACACAAAATAGAGCTTTCTTTTGGTGGTAATTGATCACCTGTGCACTTTTTATTTTTGGCGCTATAAACAAAAAAAGTTTCGAAAATTTTTTTTTTTTTTTTAAAAAACAATGTTTTCTCATTTCGGTCATAAAAAATATCCAAGAAAACTAAAATTTTGTCATAAATGTAGGCCAAAATGTATTCTGCTACATGGTTTTGGTTAAAAAACCCCAATAAGTGTATATTGATTGCTTTGTGTGAAAGTTATAGCATCTACAAACTATGGTATAGATAATGGAATTTACACAGATTTTACTTTCTGACTGCCCATCAAATTTCTTGAGGTGCTAAAATACCAGGATAGTACAAACACCCCCAAATGACCCCTTTTCGGAAAGTAGACACCCAAAGCTATCTGCTGAGAGGCATATTGAGTCCATGGAAGATTTTTTTTTTTCCCACAAGTTTCTGGAAAATGACAAAAACATTAATTTGTTTTCTTACACAAAGTTGTAATTTAAATTATATATTTTTCACACAAGCCATGGGTATATGTGAAATTACACCCCAAAACACATTCTGCTACTTCTACTGAGTATGGGGATACCACATGTGTGAGACTTTTTGGGAGCCTAGCCACATACAGGAGCCTGAAATCCAATGACCACTTTGAAAGCCTGAAGGTGCGTAACCTCCTCATTTCACTTCCTCACTACAGTTTCAGAGGCCCTGAAATGCCAGGATAGCACCAACCCCCCCCCCCCCAAATGACCCCTTTTTGAGGGGTGGGGGAATTTTATGCCCAGCATTAGAAGTTTATGCCACACATCACTCACTCTTCTAACCACCTGCAGATCAAGCCTTTTCTGAAACTTTCTGTTCACATGAAAAAAATCTGTATTTTTTGCTAGGAAATTAATTTAAGCCCCCAAACATTATATATATTTTTCAACGCAAACGCCCTAGTGAATAAAATTGTGAGTGCTGCAATTTTCTATGTCACATAGTACTTGCGCAGCGATTTTTAAAACGCAATTTTGTTTGTAAAAAATACACTTTTTTTACTTTTAATACACAAAACACAATATATTGGCCAATTATTTGATAACATATAAAAGATGATGGTATGCCGAGTAAATAGATACCAAATATGACATACTTTAAAACTGTGCATGCCCTGTGCAATGTTGACAAACTGCATACGTTTTTAATATCCATAGGCACTGTTTTAAAAGCCTTTACAAGCTACCATTTTAGATTTACAGAGGAGGTCTAGTGTTAAAATTACTGCCCTTGATCTGACATTCACGGCGATACCGCACATGCATGGTGCAACCGCTGTTTACATACCGGCACAGGATCAACACTCGTGCACACAGGTGTGCGTGCACAGGGGGGCGAGGGTGCTTTTTTTTTTTTTTTTTTTTTTAAATTATTTTTACTCTGGTTACTCTGTCCCTTTAAGTTTTTTGTTTTTTTTTTTAGCACTTTTAATGCTATCACAGGAAATGCAAATATCCCCTATAACTTCAATGGGTATTATCATATATTCTTTTTGAGAAATCCAAAGTCTATCAGACTCTAGATATCTCCTCTGCCCTTACATTAACCAACCAAACCAAGATCGGTGTGATCAGATGCTTTCCCAATTTACAAATGGCGCTGTTTATATCCTGCAAAACTGAAGTGATGAAATGCTCGAAGCTTCCAATTTCTTACACTATAGAGATGATTGGCACCATTCTGGTCTCCAATCAGCTCTATAGTCAGCTGGCAGAAACACCGGCTGCATAACAGGTTCCCTCGATGGGACAGGACTACCCGAGAAGGCTGTGGAAGGCAGCGGGGGCATCATCTCCTGCTGCTTGTAAAAGCAATCTGCAGCTGTAGGCATCATCCAGGTATAACCATTCAAAGTCCAGTGATGTACCAGTACGTCGCTGGTCCTTGTTGGGTATATATGCTATGTTCTTTTTTTTTATTTGTATGCAGCCTGTAGGCTGAATGAAAAAACGAGAAGAAATCTCTGTCAGAAAAAAAAGTGTGTGGTATGCCCACCATTAGAATATACCACCCTGCATCCACCCACTTCTAATGGTGGGCACACATTAGGTCGCACGGTGCCACATGCACCAGTTCCAAGATTGTACAAATGTCTAAATAGTGGCACGCTTGAATAAAAATTGTCCACGTATAAGTGGTACCCCATGTGGAAAAAGGATGACACCAAGTTCCACACTATCTTGCCACTACTCCCCATGTAGTCTGGGCATCCGGAGGGCTCCACGTGACTATCTTTTCCCCTCGTAAATCCAAAACTTATATATAGCCTGTTGCCCTCTCACAGGTCTTATACATCTTGACCCCATATCTGGCACGCTTGCTGGGGAGAAAAATTGATGAGGGACTCATCAACGCAGAATTTTTACTGGTGAGTATGGACATCTGCAAATTTTTGGTTAAGGTGATTTACGAGGGGCTGAATTTTGTGGAGCCGGTCAAATTCAGGGTCACCTCGAGGACGACAGAGTGTATCGTTGTTGAAATGCATAAAAACACATTATACTCTCATATATATGCCTGACCATGGCAGCAGAGAACATGGGCATATGATGAATCGGGTCTGTGGACCAATACAACCGCAATTCATTTTTTTTAGTAATGCCAATGTTGAGGGTTATGCCCAAAAAAATGTAAATTCGGAAACTGTAATGGGTTTCCATGCAAATGGTTTGGCAAGGTTTGAATTTGGGTTGGCGGCGATAAATTGTTGTGCATATAAATTGCTTTGATCCACAATCAATGCATACAGATATTCTGTGAAAAACAGCTCCAAAAAATCAAGGGGAGTAGTTAAATTTGCTGTTTCCACCTGAATTCCGGGTTGGGCAGTGAATGGGGGAAGTACGGGTGCTGCAGAATTTGTGGGCTGCCAATCAGGATTTGCAAGTACATCTGGAAGGATACTAGGGGCTCTAAGCGCCTGTGTGCGAATTCTTGGTGGTTGTGGGACAATACTTGTGCTCGCCACCGCACCAGACTGTACTGCACTTATGGGACTCGCTACGTCACCAAGTGATACTGCAGTGCTGGTATGTGAAAGACCAAGATGTACTAGGCCGCTGGTGCTCGCCAGTTCACCAAAAGGTAGCGTGCCACTAGTACTGGCACTCTGCTGCATATGAGAGTCATCAAAATTCACCAGCAAGTGCTAACAGAGATCAGGCCTATTTCTGCAAACACTGCAGTTTCATGTGCAATGTATCAAGTGACAGTGACCTATTGACACTGTACTTGCTGGGGGAGAAGGGGGGTGAGCGTAGGGGCTAAACACAGGTGCTGGCAGGTGCTGGGGCTGATCCCGCTAACGCTGCGTTTTGGGGGACACTATACTAATGTGAACGCTGGTATAGTGCTGATCTGATCAAAGATATTGATCCGTTCAGACACTATACTAGCAATAGAGGTTTATTGTGTATGAGCGTGTTCCTGGCAATCAAGGGGTTAAATGTGATTACTGGTGTACTGACAGGCAATCTGATGCTATCTGGGAGGGGCGTGAAAACCACGGGAGCGCGAATCATGTATACTGTACATATGTGGTTTTGCGCACCCGTGCCGCCCTGTAGCAGTATTTCCTAATACGTGTAAATTAATTTGTTTATGTAAAAGTTATAGCGTCTACAAATGGCGGTATAGATACTGGGATTTTATTTTTTTTTTACTAATAATGGCGGCGATCAGCAACTTATGGCGGCGGCAATCAGAGAATTATGGTGGTACTGCGGCAGACATTCTGACACTGGGGGAGAACTGACTTGGGGTCACTGACATTCCCAGTGACACCAATATAGTGATCAGTGCAAAAACACTGACACTGTACTAATGACACTGGGGAGGAAGGGGTTAACATTAGAAGGCAATCAAAGGGTTAACTGTGTGAGAATGTTTTACGTGGGGGGTGCTTCACTGTATCCAGAAGGCTGAGCTCAGCGATTCAGATAAGTGTGCTCAAACTGACAGGGAGGAGAGCTGCATTAAAAACAATGCAGCTGTGCTCCCTGTCAGTGTTTGCCAGTAATCGCCGGGCCAAAATGTATTCTGCTACATGTCTTTACAAAAAAAAAAAAAAATCCCACTACGTGTAAATTGCGGCTGACATTCTGACACTGGGGGGAACTGACTTGGTGTCACTGACATCCCCAGTGACACCAATACAGTGATCAGTGCTAAAAAAAACACTGACACTGTACTAATGGCACTGGGCAGGAAGGGGTTAACATTAGGGCGATCAAAGGGTTAACTGTGTGCTGGGAGTATTTTACATAGGGGGCCGTGTCAGTGTGCTTCACTGTAAGCACACTGCTTTGGATGGCTGTGCTGTGCACAGCCATCCAAAGCAGTGTGCCCGAGCTGACAGGGAGGAGAATTGTTAGTAAACAGAACAGTCCTCCTTCCTATCGGAGATCACCGGAAATCACCAGGTGCTGGCGAGTAATTGACAGCCATGGCCGCGAATGGCGGCGCGTGCGTGCCCTCTACCCTGAAATGCAAAATCACATATATATACACGTGATTTTGCGCACCCATGCCGCCCAATATCAGTATTTCTGCTATAGGGTGGACAGGAAGCGGTTAAACACGCTGTTGCAAAGCGTCAATGCCTGCCAAACTTTTAAGGCATTATTTTTGCCTTGCTGCAACGCAACGCTAATGCTGCAGTGTGAACACCTCCATCTGCTCCCTATTTTAACAATTTTGAGTGGCATTGATAGGTGTTCAGGAAACATTAAAAATGTGACCCAACCGCCTATTTTCTTTTACAATGAATTTTATTATAGACAGCACAACAACAAAGAAACAGTCAAAAGCAAGATCATTGACACAAAAGAATAAGGTGTACAATTCTTCTGATAGGGGACATAACAAATGCACTGAAGTATTAACACGGAGAGAAACAGAGTACATAAACACAATATATAAAAGGATGGAATGAAACCTTATAAACTGCGTTAACAGCAAACAAGTAGTGACCAATGAGCTAGTAGGCAAAAGCCAAGGATAGTCACTAAAATCGCATACAGATGGTAGGAAAAACTGACCATGGAGTCTCACTGGACGCACATCGAAACTCTACACCAAGGAACCTTGAGAAAGTCCGACAGGTATATAAAACATTACAGGCACGATTCTCTAGGAGTATCACAAGTAACATGAAGACTGACAAAAACAAAGGAAAGAAACAGAAAGAAAAGCGAAGAAGGGAGAAAGAAGAATAGTAAATACAAAGAAAGGGCTCCAGGGGATCACGCCAGGAGAGTCTTATATCGACAGGAGGGTCTGGTCAAATCTAGACAGTTGAGCCACATCAATCCAGGGATGCCAGATCTGCAAAAACTTTGTGTGGGAGTCTAACAGCATGACCATTAGCTTCTCATTAACCATTCTAAGATTATTCCAGTTCTTAACGGCTTCGAAGCTAAGAAGAGGGGTTTTCCAAGCTCTCGTGATCGTCAATTTGGTAGCCATAAATAGCTGCGATGCCAACTGCCACTCAGGACGGAGTAGACCTACTAATGGTTTAAATAATAGCGCCTCGTATGGGTTGCGCTTAATATCTGTGTGTAGCATAGTGCAGAGAAGGGAATAGACCCTAATCCACAGTCTGCATACCTTGGGGCCTATTTGTTGAAAACCCTGAAAGCAAGTCGGAGAATATGAGGGGATAAAACAAGCCAGCCGGGCAGGCGTATAATATCATCTATAAAAGGACCTTGTAGGCATATTCTAATATAACAACATTCCTTGAACATTTAGACAATGCTTGAATCATGATCCGCCAGTCTTGCTGATCTAGACAACTCCAGAGTTCCGATTGCCAATGCTGATAATAAGACCAAACCGGGGGTGTCCTATAAGAAATAACAGTGGAGTAGACAAGGGAGATCAAGCCTGGAGCATGAGACCTGTACCTGCAAAGACGTTCAAAGGGAGTCAACCTATAGGGTCCTGAATGGGCTCGTAATAATTTAGTAAGAAAGCTAAAATGCTCCCTCAACGGGATGTCATGAGAAGAAAACAGAGTCTCAAAAGTAAGTATCTGAGCAGGAGAGAGCAAGGAGTGTACGTCATTGAAGCCAAGAGCTGGCCACCACGCAAACTGTCCAGAATTGTCAAGGCCCAGGGAAACAATGGGTTGTGGAGTAGGCGCATCAAAGGTAAGTGAGCAGAAATGAGACCAGCAGAATATTTGATGGAGTCCCAAAATCGAAGCGTGTGCTAATGTCGGACTAAGAGGCGAAGGGCGATGAACAGGGGGAAGCCATGGCAAAGAAGAAAGTGGCATCGGGTGGGAGTCCATCAGATCTATTGTGGCCCACTGGGGAATATTGCGAGACCCATGAAGATGGGCTAGTGGAGCAATATTCGCCTCTAGGTACTCTAGGTAGTAAGCATGGAGATTCGGGACAGACAGTTCACCCTCGGTCCTACGGGCAAATAAAATTATTTTATTAAGTCTACGGCATGTGGAGCCCCGTTGATGAATGCGTAAGGTATGCAAAGGGACAGGGATTGGTAAAACCCGAAACACATATAATAATTTGGGGAGATAAGTTATACGGATCGCATTAATTCTACTGAACCACAAAAGTGGGTGATGAGTTCAAAATGACATTTCCGTCAAATTCTTAAAGACAGAGGTAAATTAACCTGATAAAGTCCTTCGAAAAACGGAGTGATCTTAATCCCCAGGTATGGCAAGACCGAAAGGCATTGAAAAGAAAATGATTGTTTCAATGTTGCCAGCAGCGAGGGGGAAAGGGTAATAGATAAACTTTAGATTTAGCGGGATTGACATAAAGGCCTGAAAGAGCATCGAAGGAGTCCAGAACCGCCAGCAAGTTGGGCAGAGTAACCCCCGGATTAGTAACTGACAATAATATGTCGTCCACATACAACGACAACTTATGCTGGGAACCGGCTACATCCAGCCCCTTAATCACTTCCTGTCCGGACACTTTTACCCCCTTCCTGTCCAGGACAATTTTCAGCGCTATCACACTTTGAATGACAATTGCGCGGTCATGCAACACTGTACCCATATGAATTTTTTACCATTTTTTTGAGACAGATAAAGCTTTATTTTGGTGGTATTTATTCACAAATTTTGAAAAGTGTTTTTTCTTATAAAATTTTGCAAATGAATAATCTTTCATCATAAATCTTGGCCAAAATGTATTCCATTATCTTTTTAGTAAAACAAAAATAAGCCAAATTAGTTTATAACCAAAAATTATAATTTTTAAACATTCTTTTTACATTTTTATTTTAGTTTTTTATATTATTATTTATGTTTTTTTTTTTTTTACATACTGTCACCCTAGCAGTACAGTGTCACCATGGTGGCTCTGTACTACTTGTGGGGGGGTGATGAAGATTTATTTATTTTTTTTACAGTAATTGCTTTTACACCCATATAGGATATAAAAGCAATCATTTCTCTTTGTCTGCATTCTTGCAGTCATTGAGAAGTACTGAGTAAGCTGTGATTGGTCACAGCTTGTCACATGGTACAAGGCTGTTGTGAATAGCCTTGTACCATGTGACCTCTGTGATCATTCACAGATTTTACACGTAGTAAGCAATGATGTCACAAGCGACATCTTGCTTACTACTTCGCATGTGATGACTGATTGGCCAATCAGTGATCACATGATCGGGACCTTGTACAGAGGTCCTGTCTGACGATCGGTGTTTCACTGTCCGGAGGACACTGCGGGCACCGGATCGCGATGCTGCGAGCTCCCAGGGAGCGCGCACAAGCAGGGTGCGGGTAGGCCGTTTATGATTGGCCACCCAACCCTGCACTGCCACCGTCCGGCCGTTTATATAGAACGGCTGGTTGGGAAGTGGTTAATAGCAAAATGTGAAAAATATTGCTTTTTTTCTCAAAATTGCTGCTTTTTTTTGTTTATAGCACAAAAAATAAAAAAGTAAAAGCGATCAAATACCACCGAAAGAAAGCTCTATTTGTGGGAAAAAAGGACGTAAATTTAATTTAGGTGCAGTGTTGCATGAGCATGCAAATGTCAGTTAAAGTAACACAGTGCCGTAATACAAAAAATGGCCTGGTCGGGGGGGGGGGGGGGGGGGGGGTAAAAATCCTCTGGAGGGCAACTACCACTTTTGCTGAGCTGTGTCTGTTAAAGGAAGTTAAAAAATGACAGCTGGGGCCCTCTTACGCAGGAGTTCCTGTGGTTCATTCCTATGGGTTTGCGGATACAGACAGATAATGACACATGTACATCTGCTCAGATCTGTTTTTTTTTTTTTTAATCGTAGCAAAGCTGCATCCTTTTCTACTGAGACGGATCTGAACTAGATACATCTGGGGGGCACTGAGGACAAAACATTCAAGAGAATTTAGCGGCGTCACAAGCACATGTAATTCAGGGGTTAAAACATGCAGTGAGGCAACTCCTAACAAGCATCACACCTGGAAAGTCCAGACTCTTGATTTGCATACATGTGCTAGTTCTGTCTCAGAAAGTACACATACCTTTTATTCAATATGACAACAGGCTACTCTCATTTGAGGAATGTTGGAAAACTGTCAGCATTTGTATTTCCTTCATTACAAGTTTTCTGTAAATCGACAAATTCACTTTTAGTTGTCCTTTAGGGTTCATTTACGCTTGCATTCCCCTTTGAAAAGTGATTGCGGTGAATCACTTTTTCAGAAGGTGTGTGACAACAGGCTGGGAGGCAATATTTCACAGCCTCACTGCCTGTTTTAATGCCTGTAAGTCACCGGTCACGCCACTCCCTTTAAAATCTCACGATTTGTGTGTAATTTCAGCCCGATTTCTGAAGACTTTATGGCTTTCAATGATTTCTTGTAATTTACAGTGCGATTTCCGTATGTATGTGAAATCGCAACAAAACTGCACAAAAAAGTAATCCAAGAACTGCTTTAGAAATCACGCTGCAGCAAATTGCACAATTTAATACACCGACATTCACATTCATTAGATGCAATTTCAGGTGCAATTTAAATTTGCAAATCGCACCGATATGACTGGGCACTTAAGGCCACACCACAGCTGCATGAATCTCATGGATGGTACTGTCAACTGAACGCAACAGGGGGGGTGTCATTTCTGCTACAGCTGTGAAGCATAGCATTGTGGCATGTTTCCAACCCACCATGTTAGATTAAGGAGGGAGGGGTGGTAAAACTGCACCTGAACAACCTGCTCTTATGGCCCCTACAGTAGGGCCTTACAGCTTTCCCTTTCCCCCCCTCAGTATAACCCACTTAGCAAAATACTTAGCCTTAGCCTAAAATGTTTGCTGTACTGCCATTTCTGGCTCCATGCAGCCTAAGAAATTCCCAGTAAGTCTACTGTCTGTGAATTCTTTGGCCTCATTCACACTGTTCTCTCAAGAGTGATCTGTCTGGATTGCTCTTCAGAGGACATTTGACAGGTGGAGAAGAGTTGTCACCCCTTGCCACCTGCACTAGCACACCGATACTGTGTGGATTGCACACGGTTGCAGGGTGCTTGCAGATCAACCCCATTCACTTAAATGGGTTGTGTTTGAAAGGCATTGCACAACCCCCAAAATTGACAGGGGGTAAATTCCTGCCATGACATGTACACCCCCGGCTTCTGTCTCTGCAAACTAAAGGGTTTGCGCTTCAGAAGTGATAAAAGTACAGCTCAAACTAGGGGTTTTACCTCCCCCAACTGCTAGTGTGAATGTGCTCTGAGTGCCAGGTCATACCGATGCAATTACAGGTGTGATATGGGACTTGAAATCGCACCTGAAATTGCATCTAGTGAATGTCAGTGTCTTAACGTGCGATTTAGTTCTTTCATGACTTTTTCTACAGTTTTGTTGCGATTTCACATTCAGAATATAATTGCAACTGCCCGAAATCATAGAAAATCTTCACAAGTAGGAATAAAGTCTTCAGAAATCGCACCTGACATTGCACACAAATGCGTGATTTTAAATGGCAGCGGCGAGACCGATGACATAGGGTCACCATACATTATACAATCTGACCATTCAATCTTCATACAATCCCCTATACCAAAACTGATGAGACCCTACCTAATCTATCCCATCCACCTGTATTCAATCAGACAGGCCCCTTACACTACATGTGGCAGATGTAAATGAGATTGTATAATCAGAATGCAAGGTGTGTGAACCTAAAAATACACCAAATTATGTGCGATAGAGTCCAACCCAGACATCAAACACCTGGGAAGCCGCATTAGCAATGCCTGTCCGCCCTCGCCCTAAGCCAGCAGTTTGTTTCCATTAAGAAAATACTTCCAAATGTTTACACAACCCTACTTGTCATGGAAATACATGAACTGATATTCGTATCCCATAACAGTGTCATTGACATGGTAATAAAGCGACAAGCCCTAGGATCCGAGATATCACACTGCAACACAATGAGCCCTGGACCGGAAATGAAAGATGCAGGAATCCCACTGAACCAATGAGAAAGCTCACTCTGCACACCGAGGGATTATGGGTAGTTTATCAGGAAATGACGTAGCTAGGAGAGGTGTGTCTGCATGTGGACATCGACTGTGTGACTTCTTTTTCACAGAAGATTGAGCTGTGATGGTAGTGTATGGATTATTCTGCTGTATAGAGGGGAGGTGTCTGCCTGCACTGTGCATATACATTTCCATGCAGGTCAGGACACACATCCTATACAGGTGTTCGGAGGGGAATTCATCAAAGCTGGAGCAGCTGTGCAACCAATCCGCCTCTATCTTCAGCTTGTCCAGTTATACTTTGCAAATTAGAGGTAGAAGCTGATTGGCTTCCTTGCCCAGCTGTTTCAGATTCTGGCTGCTCCAGATGTAATGAATGTTTTATTCTAAATGCCTTTCTCATGGCAGGAAAGAAGCAGCGTCAAAATGCACATAAAGCTGCGTTTTTACAAACACATTTAGGCGCAGCAAGTGCTTGGGTGTTTATTTCATTGGACAGATTAATTTATTCTGGCCATAGGAATTAATGGCCAAGCTTTTGATGCATATGGTGCTTAAAGTGTTACTAAACCCAGGACCCTAGATTCACTATATCATTTCTTTGTGAGTGGGCAAACATTCAAAATCAGCAAGGGATCAAATACTTATTTCCTTCACTGTACAGACTGATTTTACTGTTGTGGGTTTAGTAACACTTTTAGTGTATCAAACATTTTTTTTCTCAGTGATTTGTTTTTTTTTTTCTACCTTGAACGCCTGTAAATGCCTGTGTGTGCATGGACACATAGGCTAACATTGAGGGGTGAAGTAAAACAAGAAGAAGCGTACCAACCTTGCGCATTACCTCAGTAACCAAAATTTATTTGGTAAAAGAATGGTACTCACAAACAGCAAATAAAAACAGGCATGTAAGTCCTCCCAGGGACTTCAAAGGCAAGAGGCCAGCGCGAATCCCATCATGGGGGTAACCACTCAGTACAGCTGACGCGTTTCGAAGGTCATGCCTTCTTCCTCAGAGCTCATTCTTTTACTAAATAAATTTTGGTTACTGAGGTAATGCGCAAGGTTGGTGCGCTTCTTCTTGTTTTACTTCACAGCCTTGGTTTGGAGCTGCACGACCTTGTATGCCCCGGTGGTTGCTTTGTTGGGATTTGATCTACTCACCACCTGTCTGGGTCCCGGAGCGCAGGAGAAATTGCATTTAGTCCATTGTCTAACATTGAGGGGTGTTTAGAGGCAGAAAAAAAAAACGCAAGGTGCTTCTAAAAGCGGTGTTCAAAACATCCGGTGTGCATGAGGCCTTCGTTCTCAGGACAAGCAACATGTTCTGTTTTCCTTACTACTTTAGAAGGACAGCACTATACAATGTATATAAGAAACATACCTTACAGAGTCCAGGACTGGAAATGAAAAGCCTGGCCATACACTATACAATCTCTGTACAATCTTCTTAGACCTCGTACACACAGACAGGTGCTTCACGCATCCCCATGTCGGCAGTCCCATAGCTGTCAACTGGGACACAGCTGCTGCTCCCAATGTGACAACCATATGGGTGCTGGTGGACGAGTGCGTTTTGGGTCTTACGCTTGGGAGCAGCCGCTGTGTCCCGATAGACAGCAATGGGATTGTGTGCATGGAGATGCATGCAACACCTGTACATCCCATGCCAGTAAACACAGCCTTCACATAGGGCAAGGTTTGATAGATTCTTCGTGCTGTCTGTGCCCCCATTAAATAATTCACTCTTTCTATTTGACCATTGTCACAGAGAAAATTCCAAATTTGTGTTGTTGGGATTAGAGGGGAAATCTTCCAATGGGGAACCTAGTTCTGTTGACTACCAGTGATTCCCTCACTATGGAGGGATCTTTCACTTCCTGTTTTGGCTATGGGACAGGAAGTGAAGGGAAATCTCCGCAATGGGACATAGATTGCAACAAAACTGAAAGAGGTTATAATCCCTCTTTAAGATGACCATACACTGTACAATCTTTAGATCTACCACCAGTTATGTAGTACAAGGACCTGCCAGATTTGATACAATTGAATGAGTTATTTAGGTTTGCCCTCATATAAATATAAAGGAAATAGTACAATCACATTCTATACTATGTAGCCAACTTTAGAGTTACCAATATGATGTAATATATAGATAAACTTACATAATCCATTCGGCTAGTATTCAGCCAGGCATTTATACTACATAGCTGGTGATGAATCTAAAGGAGATTGTACAATCAAATTGTGGAGTGTGAATTCAGGCATTTGGGAGCTGATACTGCTTCTTCCTGCATGCATATTTTTTTTTTTTAGCCAAATGGGGGGGGGGGGCAGAGACTATTGAAATACCACACCCCAACTTGAATGGGTTGTCATTTGTGGTGAGGTTGCCAGACAAACCTGACAGGTGAAAGAATTTTTCATCTGATGCCCTGCAGCCTTGGCGATATGTACTAACATGGCTGCTGGCCATGTCGAGCTTGTCGATTGGAGGTGGTGTTTAAAACCAAAGCTCGACTGCCCATTTTTACCACCCGGGTTGACGGTAGGTGTGTTGGTGGAGCACTGGACCTGAGGTAGGAAGGACAAAGCTGGCCATACACCCATAGATTTATTTCTTTTAGGCTGCACAAAAGAAATATAACCGATTCCTCCATCCACTCTAAACAGTGTGGATGGTTGAATCTTCCGCTGCATGTCATTGTATTCTGATTAGACGCAGGTGCTGTTCAGATGTCCGTTTTCTGCCTGGTTCCTTCAGTTTTTCAATCAAAGGATGTGGGGTGGAGTGGTGCTGACAGGGAAACGCAGAGATCAATTTCATTCAGTTCCTTAGGTGTCCTTTGTATTTATTTTTATTACTTATTGGTAGTGGAACTGTTGTGCCTATATGTGTGTTTATGTAAATTTATGTTTAAATAAAAGTACCTGCATTTGTTGAGAACTACAGAGATATTGTTACCAGTGTGTTATGGTGTGTCACCTGAGGCATGTGCAGACCCTTCATTAGATTGCAATTTTAAACTGTATTGTTCTTTTTGTTATTTTGATTAGTGCTTTTTGTTATGTTTCCTCCTAGCAAAAGAAGAAAACAAAACATGACTGACTGGCTTGACAAAACTCCCCTGGAATGGCAGTCTTATGTCAACAAAGAGGTGAAAGTCAGCACTGATGAAAAGAATGAATACCAAGGATGGGTGATAACCATTGATCCAGTGTCTGCCAGGTACATAGATGCATTCTGATATCTGTGCTAAATAAAAGCACTGCTTTTGGCTAAATGCAAACCATAAATAAAGATTCACACTCATAAACAGAAGCATACGCCTACCTAAACCAGTATGTAACATGTAAGACACCCAGAGGGGGTTGATTTACTAAAGGACTAGATAATATTAAAGTGGTATTGAATCCCAAAACCAAAAAGCCTTCAGATCCACTTTACTACCGTGCTATAGCCGAATAACAGCTACAGCGTGGTTTTCCAGTTCTGGGAGGGCGTCATATGACGTCCTCCCAAAATGCGCCCACAGCGGCAAGCACCCAGGGCTGTCTGTGATCGCTGTGTCCTTTTTGACACAGCTGATTGCATGACATGGTAAAAGACCTTTTACTACATGATCAGCTGTGTCCAATTCCAGCTGACCACCATGTCAATACACTTGCCGGTTAATGGCAGTATTTTCCTCATGCTGTCAAAGCAGACATCTGCACTGATAATCAGAGCACTGATCAGGGCCGTGATTATCAGTGCAGCCCCAAAAGTACCAAACAGTGCTACCCATCAGTGTCCAACAGTGCCGTCAGTGCTGCCATGCAGTGCTCTTTAGTGCTACCTATTAATGCCCATCAGTGCTGCCTATCAGTGCAGCCTCATCAACATACATCAGTGAAGGAGAAAAATTACCTGTTTGCAACATGTTATAATAGAAACAAAGAAAACCTCCTTTTTTTTTTTCCCAAAATGTTTGCTCTTTTTTTGTTAGTGCAAAAAATAAAAATAAACTAGTGGTGATTAAATACCACCAAAAGAGAGCTCTATTTGTGGGCAAAAAAAAGATGAAAATGTTATATGGGCACAGTGTTGCATGACCGCGCAATTGTTATTCAAAGTGCGACCGCACTGGAAGCTGAAGATTGGCCTGGGGAGGAAGGGGGTGCCCAGTAGGCAAGTGGTTAAATGGATGTATAGCTGCAATAACTGGAGTCACCAGTGAAGGCTGGGATATTGTATCCATGGTGTAGCTGTGGCCACAGCAAGAAACAGATTGGATATCTGGAGATCTATTTCTTTTGTGAATTCAAAAGAGACGGTGGTTGAAAGAATGCACTTTATTTGAACACCCAGATGACACTTAAGGTCTGTTTTAACATATAAGACTACACTATTCTTATTAATTTTGTGTGATAATAGAGCACAAATTTACCATTGGTTACCCTTAAAACTGAAATATTAATGTTTTGCTATTTTCATGTTTTTTCTACTAAGCAACAGCAAACAGAGGAAAACATTTCATTCTTTTCATTGTCATTTCTCTAATACTTTTTCATCTGATTTGCAATTGATAATAGTTGTACATTTTTCAAACATAACTCTGTAAGTTTATTTCTTCCTAAACAACTTCATTCTCTGGAATGATACCAGAAAGAATGAACTAAGATAAACATTTTCTTCCTGAATGCAATAGAAAACTTTGAATCCCAACATCCAACATTACATATCCTGTTTAACATGTGTAGAGATCATTGCATACCAACAATACATTGCCCTCCCCACCCAATGTATAGCACTTGGATAATAGATGCAGCATTCTTCAGTTACATGCCACACCTTTGTATTAGTTTCAGTTGAATGGAGCTATGCACTATTTTATACAGAAAGACAATTCTCCTTTGGGATGTTGCTGATCTGTAGGTTAGGTAAATATGGATGGCTTCTAAATCCTCATATTTTATTTGGTTTCTGTAGAGTGAATGGCTGATACTAAAAGTGGCTGTTGTCAATATCTGAGAAATTGTTGGGCACTGCAAAGGCAGTTGTGTTCATACTTAATTTATACTAAATTACACAGTGCCCACATGCTTGCACCTCTATATCTGTATAACGAAGCTGCTACCTTCAAATAACCACACAAATAAATGATCTAAAATAAGGAAGCACCTGATAAATATCCATAAAATAATAAATAACAAAAGACTCCTATAACACATCTTCCTAACAAAATCTGTGATAAATTATGAGATCTAAAAATTGATATATACATGTATTAGTGTGTGTGTGCGCATGTGTGTGTGTGTGTGTGTGTGTGTATATGTGACAAAATCATATATAATACACAAAGAATAAAAGTAAATTGGGAAAAAAACCACACTAGTCCATATGTACCTGTATAAAAAAACACTATTTATTTTTCCACCACTGGAGGTGTTTATTATATTTATTGTGTATGAATTTATATACTGTGTGTGTATCCCCACTAAGCAGCAGTGGATAGAGAAATGTTAACTGAGGGCTCTTGTATTCATCAAGTGCTGTTCAGCTGAGAATTTTTGGAGAGGGGTGTTTTTTTTTTTTTTTTTTTTTTTTGTTTATTTTTCTTTCTTTTGCCAAAAATCAACTTTTTCTGGATGGGGAGGTACAGATAGGGCCACCCACTGTTTGAATTTGGCTAGTTCAGCAGAAATCAGCCAAACTTCGAGCAGTGTATAGCCAGCTTTACAATGAAAGACAAATCATTAGGACATGGCCTGCTTTTGTTTTTTTGTTTTTCTTTTAAGAAAGATATCTGACGCTAAATGCCATTGTACACTGACAAGTGAGCAAGTGGAGATGGAAGCTTATCTAAACCCCAAAACTAAAATGTATAATATTACAGCTTACCATTCCTTAGGCAGGCCATAGATGGAGCAAATTTCTTTCCTGCAACGGCACTTTCAGTGTTGACATGGGACTCCCTCCTGTGGAGTGAAATCACACATAAAATCCAGCAGTCTGGTTGATCCCAAGTTGATCGATCGATCAACTTTTGTACATTCAGCCTGCCCATACTTCCTTCGAATCTCGGTTGGTCCCTGCTGAACTAGCTGAGATTTGAACCATCTATGATTGGCTTTCGTTGTAGTGGGTGCATTAGTTTTCGTTTTCAATCTTCCTTTCCTGTATTTTTACCTGGCAGTCCTGTCAGTAACACACTTCCTGACCTGGGGTGACAATGGTCACTCCCCATACTGCATCTATGGAGGAACTGCCTTGTCACCTTAGGCTGCTCTCCTGATTTAGACTGCAAACACCTCCCCCTCCTCTCATCTCTATTACTTAGAGGAAAGGGATTTTGTAGTTCACAGAAGACAGTTTGGAAAGCTGATGACATTTATTGAAGTTCAGTTAAGTACACATTTTTGACAAGATCAGCACGTAGTTTTCTGTACTTGTGAAAAATGCACTTAGCACAAAAAAAAAACTAAGGTAGCCACCACATCTAAGGACTGTAAGTGGCACCACCTGTCAAACCAGCCTGTTGAGATTAACGGGGGCCGCACCGCAACCGGCATGGTTCCTCAATGTAAAACTGACATTCCGCAATTCAAAAAAAGAAATGGGTTTCACAAGGTGGCAGTAGCACCTCTTGAATGCCTGTCTGCTGCTGCTATACCTTCTTCTGAAAAGCATACCCGCCTATCCAAAAGAACACAAAAGCAAAAAAAACAAGCCTGCAACTTTTGCTTAAATTGCTATACAATAGAGGAAAAAAGCTTCCTGACCCCCTAAATGCAGTATGAATTCCCTGGATCAAACTGTTGATATATTGCCTTTATAAATTAGAACTAAGGATATTATTAGTTACAAGAAAGTCATACAGACTTTAATTCCATCATTTTTACCATTACTTCGTTTAATCACCTTTACAGTAAAGAACCCTCTCTGAAACTGATAGTGAAATTTCCTTCTATCCTAAAGTGTAGGGTAGGTTCACCTTTTCATGAAAAGGTGAACTAACTCAAAATATCCTGCCCGTGTAGTGGAGCATAAACTGCAATGCACAGTCCCAGGGTGGGTATCCATCATAATTCTTGCAATGGCAAGTTCTCAATGATCAGTGGAGTCACGTGACCATGCCAACCAATGAGACGTGCATGTGAGGCTGCTACTTCCAGTAGCAATGGTTTTCGCTTTACTGAGAACTTGTAGAGGAGATATTGTGGTTTACATATAGCAGCTGACTGCTTTGTACATTTTCCTACACGTTTTCACTGGTAGGTTGTGTGGGAGCCACTTAGAGCTTGATTAGCGACTTAGGTTGGCCATACACTAGTAGATTTTCGAAAAGATTTATACAAAAATTTTCAAGTATGTTTGATATGACAGATGTTGTCCAAAAGTATTTAAATAAACATTTGCTTTTAACATTCAGTTTTTGAGTGAACAGAACAAAGACTACATTCAGTGTTAGATATTTAGTTAGTTTGTTAAAAAAAATGTCTATCATGCCTTATCGAATTTCCTTGTCACTGCAGTCAAAAACAATGGTGATTTGACCCAAGTAACAATTTGAAAATCGATTGAATGTTCTTAAATATTTTAGAGTGAATTTCTGCGAGTATATAGCCAGCTTTAGCAACAGGGAGAGAGGAGGAACAGCAGCTTGGGGCTAGCACCAACAGGAGTCCGCTACTCCCAGAAGTGTTGGATTCCCATTAAACTTGTATTCATTAAAACTTCAGTTTACATGGTTTTATTTAAAACATTTGGTGACAGGGTTTCTTTAACTACAAAGTGAACAGCTTCTGTAAGTGAACTGTAAGATGCTGGTACATCTATTCTCTAGAGGCTGTATTCTATGAATGGGTAGCTGATAGATTATGGGAAGCACTACTCCTTTTCATTTAGGCAACCCGCATTACAGCAAATAGCCATTGTTTTGCATTTGAAAATGTGGAAAACAGCAGGTGTGCATTCAAATTTAATATGGGAGTCTGTGTTCCATCAGAGGAGATGCTGGCGGGGGGGGGGGGGGGGGGGGGGGTTAGCTAGTGAAAAATTAGACTGAGTAGACACCTCTTTGCTGTGGAATGAAAAATATATATATATCTCTTCCGAGGGCATTCCAGAACCACCAGCACACATCTCAGCCCAAGACAAGATGTATAGAGGGTTGGTGAGACCAGACTCTCAAAGATATTGTCTTAAGAGAGTGGAGTGAGCCCGAGAGGTCCTAAAATTGAAGACCTGGAAAAGGTTGTACCCCTTTGGGGAAGAAGAGGAGGACAGGTTGCATTCCATTGGATTTTGGGGTCCTGTACGTGGCTAGACTGCCAAAAAGACTCTCACATGTGGTATCCCCATACTTGGGAGAAGTAGCAGAATGTATTTTGGGGAGTAATTCCACATATACCCATGGCTTTTGTGAGCAATATATCATTTAAGTGACAACTTTGTGTAAAAAAAAAAAAAAAAAAAAGAAAGTCATATTCCAAAAACTTGTGGAGAAAAAAATAAATCTTCCATGGACTCAATATGCCTCTCAGCAGATAGGTTAGGGTGTCTACTTTCAGAAAAGGGGTCATTTGGGGGTGTTTGTACTGTCCTGGTATTTTAGCACTTCAAGAAATGTGTTAGGCATTCAAAGTAAAAGCTATGTAAATTCCATTATCTATACCATAGTTTGTAGAGGCTATAACTTTCACACAAAGCAATCAATATACACTTATTGGGATTTTTTTTTTCTACCAAAAAAACAGGTAGCCGAATACATTTTGGCCTAAATTTGTGACGAAATTTTAGTTTTTTTGGATATTTTTATGACAGAAATGAAAAAATATAGTTTTTTGGGTTTTTTTGGGTTTTTTTTTTTTTTAATTTTCTGTCTTTTTTTTGGTTTATAGCGCAAAAAATAAAACTCACAGGTGATCGAATACCACAGAAAGAAAGCACTATTTGTGTGAAAAAAAGGACATACATTTCATTATGTACAGCATTGCATGACCGCGCAATTACCAGTTGAAATAGTGCAGCGCCGAATAGCAAAAAGAGGCCTTGTCACGAAGGGGGGTAAATCCTTAGGAGGGCAAGTGGTTAAACAGTGTTACTCTTCACAATCTATGTATCAGAAAGTAGTGCAATACAACCTCATATACAGTATATTATTAGACAACAAATATCCACCACCAATTTTCACACTTCACTCTTGTGTCTTGTGCATGCAGTGCTCAGATCCACTTTTCAACACCATTGTGCTCTACACCAGGTGTGCTTTCACCATCTCTCCATGACCCGTTTGGTTTTATTTACTACAGCTGGAGAGCGCAAAAGCAGGCTCACTTCTGCATTGCAAAGCCTAATTGAACAAGCTGAGGTTAGAAGCTGATTGGCTACCGTGCACAGCTTCTGGGTGCACCAGTTTTAGTAAATCTACCCCATTATGTTATATTGGGTCATAAAATGCCTTCCTCTGATCTCCAATTCCAGCAGGTACCTCTTATACACTCTGGCTCTCAGGGGAAACTGCAAGATCACTGCATACTATTTACCGTTTAAAACAATTGAAGAAATGGAAAAGAAGAAAAATGGACTTTATGGGTACAAACATCCACATTATTTTTAATCTAAAAACATCATACTTTATTTAGACATTTAAAACTTTATAATCCACAAAATGTCAAACAATGTAGGACGAGGTACAGTGTACCTTCAGTGTACCTACAGTACCACACTGCGGTTACTCTTTAACCACTTCAATATTGGGTACTTTCACCCCCTTCCTGCCCAGGTCAATTTTCAGCTTTCGGCGCTGTCGCACTTTGAATGACAATTGCGCAGTCATGCAGCACTGTACCCATATGAAATTTAAAATTTTTTTGGTTATTAGACAGGGCTTTCTTTTGGTGGTATTTAATCGCCACTGGGTTTTTATTTTTTGCTAAACACAAAGACCAAACATTTTGAGAAAAATTTTTCTTAGTTTCTATTATAACCTTTTGCAAATAAGTAACTTTATTGATGTGTGCTGATGAGGCTGCACTGATGGGTATGGATTAGGCTGACTGAAAATCAGGGCACTGATTGGGCTGCACTGATAAGTGCCCTGATTATCAGTGTAAACCAAGTACTGACAATCTTGCTGGTTATCTGCTTTCCTCTCCTCCCACAGACACAGCGTGTGAGGAAAGAACTGCTGATAACTGGCAAGTCTGTTTACATATGATCAGCTGTGATTGGATACAACTGATCACATAGTAAAGGGCTGCTGTGATTGGCCCTTTACTCCGATCTGCGATTGGTTGTGTCCCAAGGACACAGCGGTCACAGTGTGCACCCCAGGAGTGAGGTTCTGGGGGATGTCCATTGACACCCTCCCAGAACTAGATGATAGAGTTGTAGCTGTCTTTTTGCTATAGTGCTGTCGGCAAGCAGTTAATACATAATCAATTATTTTGCTGTTTTAAAACTTTTTTGAAAACCAATTTCCAATAAAAACTCACAATATATAGTGCACTTTAATCCCAGTGCACCCAAGTAATAAGACACAGTACTGTACAAAATGGGTCAACATCGGTCATTATACTTACAAGCTGGTTCGCATAAACTTGATGACATTACCCAAGTTCAGCATATATTCCCAACAGAGCATGCTTGGGAAATAAACCGGTTATGAGCAGGATGGGAATAAATAATTCAAGCCCATTTACACTTACACTGAGAATCCTAGTGGTTCACTTATTATTGCCAAACAAAAATATGTAACTTTGGATCACTTTCATCAAATTCAGAAGGTAAATGGGTCCTTATCTACTTGTAGTACTGGGTGAAAACGGATAATGTTTTAAGTAATTCCTGTACACAACTTTTGAAAATTGAAAAGGATTCACAGGTTTTAAGATATATTGTGGCTGTCTTATAGCATTTATAAATGGATTTCTTTAATACGTTTTTTGGTTTTGTTTTTTTTGTTTTCAGTGTTGTCCTGGCTAATTTTGAGGACGCCCAGAAAACACTGGTGCGAGTGGTAATGGGACATGCTCTACAAAAAGTAGAGGCAATCAATGAAGCCGATGACCTCATTAAAAACAGACTTTCACATATTTTCAGCATTCATGAAACCAGTTTACACTCCAGTGAGGATCTGGAGACAAGAAAACAGAGCTTGAAAAGTTGGCTGGAGCAAAACAATATTCCTGTTACTTTACAAGGAGACTCACTGAGGACATTATGTGTGGCAGGAGTACTAAGTATTGACCCTCCCTATGGACCAGATAACTGCAGTAGCACTAATGAAATTATATTGTCTCGCATACAAGGACTGTTACAAAGCTATCTGACAAGCCAGTGATGGACTCTATTTACACTTCTTCTGTTCAGTGAAATAAAAAAAAATTAAACAAAGGCATCCATCTGTGTTCTATTTTATTTTTATTCAAGACAACTAACACAAATTAAGATACAAACAATTTATAAAAGAATTCAGCAACCACTGAGAGAGTGGCAATTGCTTAATAGCAAGCAATGCTTCTGACTTTGAACTTCACTTGTGATAACTGTGCCATTTCCAACATCCCAGGCAGTGATGAGTGCTTTTAGTAATGGCTAGATGTTTTTCACTTAAAAAGACCTTGTCACCCACTCAAAAAAGAGAAATTTGTAGCTAGTAAACCACTCTGCTACAAAATGGCTAGATTGTCTTGGTCCTTACAGCAGACCCTTGCAGTAAAAATCAAGGCCCACGTAATATTCCTGGGCATCCTCACCTACTCTAAATAGTTGCATGATAGAGATTTAAAAAAACTAGTTACAGTCTGGTTGAAAAAAGGCATCCAGCTCTACCAATAGAAAAAAATGGAATAAACCGATAACTTTCATACACAGCTTCCTATACACACAGTTGATCCAGAGAAATGCAAAAAACCCTATAAAGGCAAGGTCCAATTTGCTCCAGTGGGGGAAAAGAAATTATATTATGTGCATTTTTTAACGCATTCAGCCATTTTTTAATACAATTTTCTGACCTGGCCAGAACTAGTTCTTGAGGGAGCCTATTCAATATATTCACAGCTCGTACTGTAAAGCAGCCTTTCAGTACATGGAGTTTAACTCTTTACCTTCAGGGGTAAAGAGTGCCCCTTGTACTTTGTCATGGCCCGCTTATACACTGTTCAAAAAAAAAATTAAAGGAACACTTTTCAATTAGAGTATAGCATCAAGTCAATTAAACTCCTGGGATGTTGATCTGGTCAGTTAAGTAGCAGAGGGGTTGTTAATCAGTTTCAGCTGCTTTGGTGTTAAGGAACTTAACAGGTGCATTAGATGGGCAACAATGAGACAACCTTCAAAACAGGAATGGTTTTACAGGTGGAGGCCACTGACATTTTTTCCCTACTTATCTTTTCTGACTGTTTTTCACTGGTTTCACATTTGCCTAGTGTCAGTGTCACTGCTGGTAGCATGAGGCGATAACTGGACCCTATAGAGGTTACACAGGTAGTCCAACTCCTCCAGGATGGCACATAAATATGTGTCATTTGCTGTGTCTCCCCAGTACAGTCTCAAGAGCATGGAGGAGATTCCAGGAGACAGGCAGTTACTCTAGTAGAGCTGGACAGGGCCGTGGAAGGTCCTTAACCCATCAGCAGGACCAGTATCTGCTACTTTGTACAAGGAGGAACAGGATGAGCACTTCCAGAGCCCTACAAAATGACCTCCAGCAGGCCACTAGTGTAAATGTCTCTGACTAAACAATCAGAAACAGACTTCATAAGGGTGGCCTGAGGGCCCGATGTCCTCTAGTGGGCCCTGTACTCACTGCCCGGCACCATAGAACTTGCTTGGTATTTGCCGTTAAACACGAATTGGCAGGTCCACCACTGGTGCCCTGTGCTTTTCACATATGAGAGCAGGTTCACCCTGAGCACGTGACAGACGTGAAAGGGTCTGGAGAAGCTGTGTAGAACGTTATGCTGCCTGTAACACCATTCAGCATGACTGTTTTGGTGGTGGGTCAGTGATGGTCTGGGGAGGCATATCCATGGAGAGATGCACAGACCTCTGCAGGCTAGACAATGTCACCCTGACTGCCATTAGGTATAGGGACGCACTCCTTGGACCCATTGTCAGATCCTACGCTGGTGCAGTGGGTCCCGGGTTCCTCCTGGTGTACGACAATGCCGGGCCTGATGTGGTGAGAGTATGCCGGCATCCTGGAGGATGGAGGAATTGATACCATTGAACGGGCCCCCGCGCTCGCCTGACCTAAATCCAATAGAACACCTCTGGGATATCATGTTTCGGTCCATGCGCCGCTGCCAGGTTGCACCTCAGGCTGTCCAGGAGCTCAGTGATGCCCTGGTCCAGATCTGGGAGGAAATACCCCAGGACACCATCCGTCTCAGGGGCATGCCCTGACATTATTAGGCATACATACAAGCACGTGGGGACCATTTTGAGTTGCTGCAATGAAATTTCAGCAAAATGGACTAACCTGCTACATCATTTTTTCACTTTGGTTTTTGGGGTGTCTTTGAATTCAGGCCTCTGTAGGTTGATAATTTTCATTTCCATCAAACCATGGGGCATCCTTACGTTCCTAAAACATTACCCAGTCCATATTAGTATAGATATCCAGCATGAAATTTTTCCCCATTGAGAGATGTGTTTTTCAATGTGTTCCTTTTAGTTTTTTTTGAGCAGTGTATATGTATACTTGGTGATAATATTCCTCCTTAAAGCGGAGTTCCAGATGAAAAAAAAAAAAGTCAGTAGCTGCAAAAACTAATACAGCCACTTACCTGTGCCTCAGTTCAGCCGCGTCCTCACCAACGCTGGTTTCACCGGCTGTCTTCTCTCCCTGGCGCTGACATCTTTAGTGTGGGCACCCGGGTGTGACAGCTTGCGGCTTCACAGCCGGGTGCCCACTGTGCATGCGTGAGAAACACCCCCCCCAGCTCCCCATAAGTACCAATCCTTACTGGGGACAAAGCATTAAAGCGGAACTTCCCCTTTTGGGTGGAACTCCACTTTAATCTCCCCTTCAAGAGAGAATAAATTCAGTTCAGCTAATCTTGCCACATAGCTGTGCTCCTGCATTTATTATGATTATTATACAGGATGCTTTACAATAGAATGGGAGACAGTACAGTTACAATACAATAAAATACAAGAGGGTTAAGATGACCCCCGCTCATAAGTACTTACAATCTAATAGGGTGGGGCAAGTAGTACAGAATGATATAACTGTGGGAGATGAGCTGATGGAAGTGATAATAGTTCAGTTAGTGAGAGGTGTGATGAGCTTTCCTGAAGAGGTTTTTTTCAGGGATCGCCTAAAGGCAGCCAGAGTAGGAGACAGCCAGGCAGACTGAGGTAGAGTGTTCCAGAGGATGGGCGAGGCTCTGGAGAAGTCCTGGAGATGAGCAAGGGAGGAGGAGGAAACAAGAGCCTGAGAGGAGTGAAGAGGATGGTTTGGGTGATATTTGGGGACAAGATAGGTCATGTAGCCTTTGAGAAGGGAGTTGCAATAGTCAAAGTGATAGATAAAAAGAGAGTCAATGAGTAGCTTGATGGTTTCATTAGTTAAGAAGGGGCAAATTTTAGAGATAGAATGAGTACAGAGATGGGTAACAAAAATGGTAAAAGGTCTAAAACCTATCAACAGCAACTTCAGGAACTTCACATATACAGCCTGGAGGAAAGAAGGGAAAGGGGGGACATGATTGAAGTCTTTAAATACATCAAAGGGGTGAATAAGGTTCAGGAGGGCAGTATTTTCAACATGAAACCAAAATCAAGAACATGGGGACCTTAAACTAACTGGAGGAAAGTTCAAAACTAATCTCCAGAAAGTATTCTTTTACTGAGAGTAGTTGATGCTTGGAATAAATGTCCAGCAGAGGTAGTGAGCCAGTCAACATTAAATAGGTTCAATCATGCTTGGGAAAAAAACAAGCAGACTTGACGCTTTTTCTGCCGTCACTTTTATATGTTACGAAGGCAAAGTCTACAAGATTTTGACAGTGATTGGATTTGAGGCCGACAGGATAGGTCAGTGTCTAGGATTACACCTAGTTCCCTGGCATGAGGGGAGGGACTGATATTTGCATTATTGATCTTGATGGAAAAATCATTGAGGTGGGCATGAGCGGCAGTGGGAACTGAATATTATCAGCTCAATTTCAGAGAGATTTAGTTAGGAAGTGGTGTGAAATCCATGCTGATATGTTGGCTAGTAATGTGAGAGGAGACTGAAGGAGTCAGGTGAGGAGTAGAGCAATAGATATGAATGTCATCTACATAGAGGTGGTATTGAAAGCTCTGGGAGGTTATCAAGTGACCAAGAGTGGTGTTGATAGAGGGGTGAAGGGCCCCTACAGAAAGAGGAAGTAGAGGGCACTATTAGATGGTAACCGCTTTCAAGGGCGGAGCCTGAGCATGGCGGTGCAGGAGAGCACGCTGTGAGTGCTCTTCGGTAAACCTCCATAGCCGCCACCCCGAGAACCTGCATGTAGCGGTGCGTGGAGCCCTACCTGAGTCACCTGGGCCATGAGATGCTGGAGGTGGGAGAGGGACGGGAGTAGAGACTGGCCCCAATCCTAAGGAGACGATCCCCCAACGACCTGAGAGACGGCAGTGGAGCTGCCGAGGTGATGGGAGTGACACGGCGTGACCACGTGGTCAGCCGCAAAGGAGCATTGGGAAGGGGAGAAGCCGGCCGGTGTTCAGAGAGGAGAGGAAGAGGTCGGCTTACTCCCTAACCTGCCGGGCAGCAGAAGCAGCGGTCGGACATCCATCAGCAGACGTCTGAGGACTGAAGGAACCCTGTAGGAATCCCCCGGGACACATTTTTAGAAGACAGAGGCAGACAGCCGTGGTCCAGGACCAGCTCACAGAATAATATACATGAAGGAGGGTGAGTGAAGATGGCCTAAGTTAATAGTAAAATGTGAATTCTATGGTGTCTTGGACTGTGTGATATGTAGCTAAAAAATCCTGTAAAGAAGAGCAGGGGGATTCCCAGGGGGATTTTAAGACATATGGAAGAAAAGAGATTACTGGCTTGGGAAGAGAAGAGGAAAAGAACCCTAATATATATTCTAAAGTCTCCCATTAGGCTGTCTAAAGAGAAATAGATACACAGAAGGGATGAAGAATAAGGGTGTTAAAGGAAGCGGACTTAAAGGGTCCCAGACAGGTACGATTAAAAAATATACGTCCTAGGGGAATGTGACTCCAGAAAGGTCTCAAGGTGGAAGTGAAAAAGGGGAAATGGAAATCAGCCTGGAAAATAGCCCTAGATTATCGATGGGCCTGAATAGTAGTAGCCAACAAAGGTCAGAAAATATA